AGGCAAATTCTGCGCATCTTACCAATAACCCGCGCACCATTCAAACCACATAACTCTTATATTTAACATTATTTCTAAAATAAAACTCTAGCATCAAACGATCAAATACTCTTTTGGTATGACTACACTGGGTATTGACAAGTCGCTATATTCCTGTATATTTGAAAAGGATTTATAGCCAAGTTCTTTATAAACATCCTTGCATATTTCCTCCATTTTCTCAACAAGTTCCCATTTAAAAGTTTTTCTCCACCAATATGCTGTATTTTTCTTTCGCTCCGTCTCAACAGATGCTGCGTTCTTAGCAGCCGGATATTTAATGATTTCCGGATAATATTTATCATTTTCAGTCATACCTAAATAGTTATATAATATTTTAGACTTGTTTAAAACATCAACGCTAAAATCTTCGTAATAAATAAATCTGAATCTATCTGGGAATAATTTTTGCACTTTTTGACCTTCGCGAAAATCGTAAAGCATTTTATTGCACAATGATTCAGCGTTTTCTATAACCAACTTTTCCGTGCCTGCAGGGTACCAATCGGTCTCAATTCTAGAATTAATAATGGCACGTGGATCTCTGAAGAGATGAATGGCCTTGAGATTGTCACGTGACTGCAGAACAGGCGCCAATAGGTCTGTTGTAAGTCGTAATACTTTTGTGACTTTATGTGTAGAATCTTTACACTTTTTTGGCATATGTCGTTGAAAACATGTCTTATATTTACTCTTGTGTTTCAGACACTCTCTCATTGTATTCCAGCTTGGACCTGTTAATGGAAAAATATAAAATACAGTTTAATCGAGATTTAAAGCATGTCTAGCACATTAATTTGTAAAACTTCTAATATCGTTGCATAAGTTTCTCAATGATTTAATGTTTAATTATATAAAACTGTTTGTTTCACATTAATAAGAAAAATCAAAAGGACAGTTAAACAGCTAAAATGATTAGTGCATAACAAGCGACTGTAGAGAGAAAGTAGTCACTTTGTCGGTATCTATTGTTTTTGCCTTGTTCCCAGCAGAGCAAAAGTACGAAAAGATGTCACTTTGTCGTACTTTTTGTGATGATATTTAACGCCTAGCGAGCGGAGCGAAAAGCGAAAGCACGAAATTTCGACAAGGCGATGATTTTGTCGTATTTTCATATTTTCCTCTGTCTCGCTGCCAAACAAATATTCGACATGGCGCAAATCAGCCACCATAGATAAGTGTATTACCCAAACAAAAACAACACCAATTTAACAGCTAATTCAGTCACGAATTTCAAGGTCCAAAAGTAGAAAGAATTCTTATAACCTGACTGATTAAAACCTCATGTTGACATCTTACCAAATGTCTATATGTTTATATGTATACGCTATTTCATAAGACAGCATACGCATGTTGTAAGATGAGTTGTCTACTCGTATATGTATGACAATACAAAGTTAACGTTGGTATACGTTAGCGCTAAGAATTTCGTGAAGGAGTTCGCTTAGAACATGGTTAGGAATAAGAAGGTTATGGCATTAATGTGAAGTTTGATCTTGTTTTGTCTTTGAACGTCAATACATGCACGACAGTCAAGATAGAAATTTCAATATATCTGTCATGGATTGTGTCAAAAACTGTCTTAAAACAGCATTTTTGCAATTTGATTTGTTCTCATGCAGTTTATTTATTGTAAATCTAAAATTTTGTCACTATGATGTGCAGGTCAGTTATTGGAGTTGCACGAATGCATGCGTAAAGTATAATGTCATGTCACTCCTCCATGCGTTTATAATTGAGCCGCGTCAAGACAATACCAACATAGTGCGTTTGCGACCAGCATGGATCCAGACCAGCCGGAGCATCCGCGCAGTTCTGATCAGGAAATCCATGCCTGGTTTGCTTACCAACCCTATTACAAGTAGAATAAACTGAATAGCGAACACGCATGGATCTTGATCAGACTACTTACGGCGGAAATGCGCAGGCTGGTTGGATCCATTGCTGGTCGCAAACGCCCTATGTTGGTTTTTGTCATTGACGCGGCTCAATTGTAGAAGTCAGGACCTACAAGACAACGTACACATAGTCGCATGACAACGATCGTCGAGGCCGCATCCTTCTTTTGTATACATGTAATATTCAATACGAAAAAAAAAAAATTAAGTTTTTTGAAGAACATAGCAGGTCCATATTTATAACGAATAGAACAAACTTGATTCCTTTATAAGTATAGATAAGGTGTAAGATTCTTAAATCTGTCCATGTTTATTTGACCTTTTAAACAAACAGAATATTTGTCTTATCCTGCATGGAAATCAAAACGTTGTAACTTAAGACAAAACAGGACTATTGTCTTGTTTTCAAGTCGTGCACCTGTTATTGACCTTTCTAAACTCGTGTTACCGTTTGTCTATGTTTAGACGACTTTTTACAACTGATTGGTCAAATAAGAATTTACGTGTCATTTAACTGCATTTGAAGCGTAAGCATGAGGAGGAGTGGTACGTTTAACATGCACTGATATTGGGGTCTTCAAACGGCAACACAGGAGATCCTGTTTACATATGAGCCGTGTCACGACAAAACCAACATAATGGGTTTGCGATCAAGCCATGGATCCAGACCAGCCTGCGCATCCGCGCAGTCTGATCAGGATCCATGCTGTTCGCTTACAAACCCTATTACAAGTAGAGAAACTGATAGCAAACAGCATGGATCCTGATCAAACTGCGCGGATGCTGGTCGCAAACGCATTATGTGGTTTTGTCGTGATGCAGCTCAGATTAGTTAATCAAAAGATCAAGAATACATCCTGGAAGTTCTAGTTAGTTGCAACAACTTCGCACGCTGACACACAGTTCAAGCTACATTAAATAAATTTCATGAAAAAAGAATATCTACATTTTCGTTAATTAAATTTGTTTCATTTCGACTCCCGTTCTTATTTTTGGTGTTCCGACGACCAAAATGAGTTTTATAAGCCATAAAGTCTTCACCTCATAGTGATGAAACGGTCAATTTCAACGATAAATTCGCTAACCACAACTACTTTTCAAACACAAATTTTAACAACTTTACGTTTTCTGCAAATCTTAATCAAAGCTGCATGGCATAGCATTCTCAGAAATTCGATATTTGGTGTAGACTTTATAAAATATATAAAAACATGATGTCCAACACTTGACAACCGATTTTAGCGATATGCACTAGCCTGGAAGTAGCGATAGATCGATTTTTACCGTATACCTCAGAAAGATGTAGCTCTTTTGTTTACCAGGCGTGTAGTCGCGAAAAGGTTACTTTTCCTCTTTTGAAAAGCATTTGTCTTTTAAATAAAAAAAAAACAAACAAAAAAAACCCACTCCGCATTGACTAGAAACTTGAAGCATTTTGAGTAAAGTGACAACAAGACGAAAAAATGGTCTAGTCTTTGTGAATAAAAGAATTGATCTGATTAATTCGAACCAAAATCAGTCGTCTTTTATCTCATAATCTCACTAAAATCCCTTTTCCGAACTTGTACCCTTTTTCTCTGTTTTATGTTTGTCATGACAACTTACCTCCAAATTTGGCTGTAACTAAAGGTTCAAAAACCATGCGTTCATAGTCCTGGAACTGACAATCGTATGTATTGTGTAAGATATTTTTAGCTATCACCAGAGAACCAGGAGGTCGCCTGAAACAAGAACTCTGTTTATCAATAGTTCACGGTAATTAACTTTCAGAATGCGATTTATCAAAGATTTCAAAATAATGATAACTACTAGGGCTGTCATTGATTTTAGTGCAAAGCATATCAACGATATATCGATATATCGATAATACCTGTAATTACTTCTCTGTCGTTCACTTTCATACCTGTTTAAATGATTTCAGTTTAAAACATGTTTTGTACAGTCTATTGTCCACTGCAAATTTTTTTTCCAGACAATATTTTTTTTCACCATTGCTATGATATATTTCCACGATATGACAAAAGCATAACATTAGACATAAATAACTGCTTCTGTATATGTTTTGGGTGAATTTTTATAATTTCTAGACATTTAATTAATTAGTCAAAAGTATAGATTTTTTAATGTGTATCGATTATTGATAGGCAAAAAATATCAACGATAGATCGATATTGTCTCTATCGATGACAGCTCTAATAACTACGGAATCAATAAAGGGCCTCTATTTAGTGCGATCATAAGATGTAAGACGGTCGATTTTTTTTTCGCTTTGATTAGATGTTTTAACACAATTCAGTTCATTTTATTCAGAAAGACAAGGTCATGTATTGTCATTTTTACTCCCTTTTATCAAAATGCTTGAAGTTTTTTGTTTAAACGAATTGTTGTCAAAAAGATAAATGTTTTACAAAAAAAGAAAAGGTACATTTAGGCCGTAACATACTTCAAGTATATAGAGAATCGGTTTGGCAAAATAACGATTCTTCTAGTTTTTGTGAACATTATTGGTTTGTATTAAAACGTGTATTTAAATCAAATTACAATCAACCGACTTACACTTTTTGAATGCCTTTTAACTATTCCGTAGTATACAATGTCGTAACAATACTCTTGAATTATACTTTAGAATCACTGAATTCAATTCTGTAACTCAAAATGTTTATGGATTTATATCATAAAAATGATGCTCAAATGAAGATTTATCAATAATGAAAGTTCCAAAAAGCTTTATTTGTAAATATATTACCGAATTTACATTTTATGTAAGTAAAGGGAGGTAATTAAAAGTTTATTTTCCATAAAGCCTTAGCCCAGTTTTTCGGATATATTTCAATTATTACACACAATAAGCTGAAACATTTGCAATACATATTGAACAAATTCTTGGATGCTTGAAAATTGCTTTAGAAGAATAGTTATATACATATATTAAATTTCACGTTAGAGTTGTTACATCCTTAATTACGTGGATTTTTAATAAGTGTTGACGATAGAATAAAGCTTAAAGAGGTGATTGGATCGTGTGAGAGGTAACTGTTTCTATAATCTGACATGTATGTGGGTTGTCCTAATATTCTTCGACAAGATTGTTTAAAAGCCAAATAAAAAAGTACGAATTTGATATTTTGATATGTGATAAACCCATATAATGGACAAATTTTTCACAAGTTTACATAGAAAAATATCAACAAACGACAAAATGAAACCATTACTACCATGGTGACGATTTGATTCGCGGCGCACGTCAAACGTCAAAGACATTCGCTTGCATTTTCCAACAACTTCATTTTGATTTTTGTTTTCTGATCTTGAAGGATATACACGTCTCTGAGCAGCACATTTGCCACAGAATTTACGTATAAGAAAGCTAATATACGAAATACAAAGAGTATGGAGCAAATAAACATTATAAGTATAATGTTGCACAAAGTAAAATAAAAAATCAGGAGACGTATTGATTTAAATAGACATTAAAAAAACAAATGAGCCGCGCCATGTCAAAACCAACATAGTGGGTTTGCGACCAGCATGGATCCAGACCAGCCTGCACATCAGCGCAGTCTGATCAGGATCCATGCTGTTCGCTATCAGTTTCTCTACTTGTAATATGGTTGGTAATTGAACAGCATGGATCCTTATCAGACTGCGCGGATGCGCAGGCTGGTCTGGATCCATGCTGGACGCAAACGCACTTTGTTGGTTTTGTCGTGACGCGGCTCAAATCAGAAAGGTGGTCTTATGTTCAAGGTTTCTGCTGCTCGACTCGGTGATTTTGAGCAGTGATTGTTTAAATTATAAAACAGATATCTACAAATGACCTGTTCACAATAAAATCCTTTAAACCAAGCAATTTTCCTAAACTTCTAAACTGACACCAGGCTGAGCATTTTTTTACTTCCCAAATCATTAATTTTAGACATATTTCTTCCTAAAATTAAGAGACTAAGGCCTCTTTCTCATTATGTAAGAAAAATCAGGTAGGTTTGAGCTCTTTACATATCAAGGTCATGTTTCCTTTTGACACCGGAAGTAGCTCAAATTTTCTATTTTTAACTTGAAATACCCGATATTTCAAATGGTCCATCCAAATTCAAAGCTGGTTAAATACATGGTATTAATTTAGCTGATTAAAGGACAACGTTTGCTTTTTTTGCATTAACATGCATAAACATAAAAATATTTACTTTTTGTCAGCAGATGCCTTGTCTTGATATTCTGTCCCTGGCTCCACATGTCTGATAGAAAATATACAAAAGACAGACAATTTTTGAACAAAACACTCTGCAAATTTTTTACACAAAAATCATAATTTATAAAGAAGCATATGATGTCACTGACAGATATTTCGTAAGAATATATTACATGAGTGAGACTATCACACTAAATATGGTATTACGGTATATACCGGACAAGACGCTTGAATGATTTAAATACTTGCCTTTTCACCCGCCAAAATGCACTTGGTATTCCGGTATATACCGGACAAGACGCTTGAATCATTTAAATCAAAATGCTATAAACTTGCCTTTTCACCCGCCAAAATGCACTATCTAATTAATCTTCTCACACCGACTTATGTACGATAATGAATAAAAATGTTAAAAAATCGAAGAAAAAGAGCGTTTCTACTTTCGGATCATGATTTCTACTAGCGACTCCAACATTGTATGTAGTGAGTTAAATCCATTTAAAATAATGTTCACGAGACGGCTTGAGCATATAACCTGCCACATACCTGCATTCTAGACGATCAGCTTTACATACCGCGCTATTACCATGCAAATAAGTCCACTGTGAGATTTTCCACAAGGGTTCGTATACATAAAACGAATCTGATCTATATCCGAAAACCATACCAGTTAAAGAACTTCCGGCTCTCATGTAACTGTTTAAAAGTACGTCATAGCCTTGTGCTGGAAAGAAGCATCAACCAAAAGACACGATGAAAAGTCTGTTTTTGAAGTTTTAGATTAAAAAGCACATGGGGTGTTTAAACAGGGAATAGAATAAAGTTAGATAATTCAATCACATTCCAGTCAATTTTGTTATAACTTTTACCTTAGTAATAAATCAATTTTCCCATAGCTTTGTATCTTCGCCCCCTCCCCCTTCCCATCCTAAATAAATAAAATAAAATCCATCCGATTTTGAGCAGAGGGCATGTTAGCTATTTCAATTATAAATAAATACGTAAGTTTAGAATAATATTTAACATAATTTCATGAATATCACTTTTGAATATTTCAATAAAACATTTCCTTTTCAACAATTTTGGAGATATTAAAATAAAAAGTCGGTTTGTTACTAAATATCAAGTATAGGAGTAGATCGCTGCGACTGTTAAAAGTTTATTTAATGCGTCTGTGATGACTAGTGAGAAAAATACACTTACATTTGAGAACCGGCTTTTGGAGCTCAACGTCTTTAAAATCTTTGGTGAAATCTTTTTGGTGCTCAAGGTCTTTAAAGTCTTTGGTGAAATCTGTACCTTTATATTTAAGTACACGCATTTATCAGAACATGTCAGCTTAATATTTTTTATATATTTTATTATTATATTATTATTATTATGTATTTCAGGAAATAATGATCTAATTCCAGATTAGGTCTATTTCAGATCATTCGCTCACTACGTTTTTCATTCTTTTTGTGAAAAAAGTGATCCTAAAAAGATGTTATCAGGGACTCGGCAAACGTGGGTTTTCTAATCTAACAACTAATTTAGCCGTGATACAATATAGCTTAACGGTACAATATCTGTCTAACCTGTATTCGAAGGTGAAACATTACTGTAAAAGCTTGTTTGTACATACGGATTACCATGAAAAACTCCAAATGAGCCGCGTCACGACAAAACCAACATAGTGCGTTTGCGACCAGCATGGATCCAGACCAGCCTGAGCGTCCGCGCAGTCTGATCAGGATCCATACTGTTCGCTGTCAGTTTCTCAACTTGTAATAGAGTTGGTAAGCGAACAGCATGGATCCTGATCAGACTGTGCGGATGCGCAGGCTGGTCTGGATCCATGCTGGTCGCAAACCCACTATGTTGGTTTAGTCATGACGCGGCTCAAATTTTCTTAATTCCGTTGTTAGTCTATTGACTGATTATTACTCAAACACGGCTAAGAATACTACAAAAGTACGATGTTCAGTGATTTTCTTTATTATCGGTTTCATAGCCTTCTTTTAAAGTGTCCACGCCGATCTATTTTAATGAAAAAAAAAATCATGTTTTAGCAGGTACATAATTATATTAACATGGTTTTAGGCTTTTGTACCTCAGTAGAATTCCTATAAAGAAGTATGAGGAAAACTTTGCAAGTTCGTAGATTTATAAAAGAGAACAGTATGGTTTGAAGAGGTTACATACCTGATAAATGTACGTACTGCAAGTGTAAGCATATGACACCTGAATGTAAAATAAAATTTAGATGCAATAATTTAAAAAACAAACAACACTAAATAAAAAATAAAAAAGATATTTAAAAAAAAGAAAAAAAAAAGAAAAAAACACCATAACCTGGATTGAAAAATGTTGAATTCAAGACATGTGGTATCTTTAAGTTGCGCTATTAAAGTCCTGTTTTCATTCAGTAATAATTAACAAAATCCCCGAATTTTAATTGTCACATAAGTTATACTGTTCTAATGTTCTAATTATTGCGCAAATTTTCAAAGCATATTTATTAGTGTCACCCATATGTATTATTTTTTTTTGGATCGACTTCCCGTTGTTGTGACCGACTACATAACTGCTACTGCTAGTCTCGTTTCCTGCCGCCTATATTTACTAAGGAAAGTAGCGTAGTGTAAGGAACAAATAGACAAGTCCTTCAGAAGAATAACTGCATTGATGTCGGAAAGATTTGGTAATAAAAACTAAAACCAATTTCAAAGATATGGAGGCTCAAAAGCACCGCCTGACATAAAATTGAAATATTCTCAGTTGGAAACTTAGCATGTAATATTATTGGCTTAGTTAACACTTTTGTTATAGGTTTTTTTCTACATACATCAATACAACAAACTCTAATCATTATGTACAACAAAAACAAAGAACTCTGATCATTAGTTACACCCAAAACAAACACACGTCATTTATCAACCACTTATACGAAATATCTTCTCTCGTACACGTCTTTTATTCGAAACAATACTAGTCGCCCGTGGAGCCCAAGCTCTAAACAATTTGTGATCAAACAAAACAATAAAATCGCCACAAAATAAAGAACACAAAATGATTATTTTACACTATAAGATACAGTATAAACCACAAGCATTCAATCAACAATATTAACTTCACAAAATCTAATCAGCCTCAGAAAACAACTTAAACTAAAACACACAATATTTACAATTAAATATCTTCAAAAACAAAGCATTAGTAACTATAAAATTCTTGACAAGACATAATCACTCAATACAACTCAACCAATATAAACCATATATCTCAGATATAACTCAACAACCAAATATAATGCACCAACATAAACAACTAATTACAACTAATGAACCTTGATCAATTAAGATCACCACAATAAAATTCAACCAACTTCAACAAATCAACAAAACTCCCTTCAAAACAATCAAATTCTCTTCTAAAAAAATTAACGCTACACACTACACACACAGTGTGCCTTCTAAATTTCAAGGTCAACAAGGAAAGGCGGCGTTCAATGAACGCAACTCCCAAACGACCCCGCAGCAAGAACCAGCAGCATGTAGACCCTAAACAAAATAAGGACTGGGCGCTAGGCAGAGCACGGACAGGTTAATCATATAAATGATATTTAAAAAAGAAATAATAGTAACCGACAAGGAAAATAAAAGAAAACAAATAATAGATCGACCGACACACAGGCCCACAAAGCAAAGGGGAACAGGGGAAGGGGACTCGATGCCCGAGTAAGGGAGGGGCAAAAGACAAAAATAAACAAGAGCCCGGTTTGAGCCGGGTGATGCTCCCTGAATAGCTTTTGGGCACAGGAAAGTACACCTCTTGTATTTTCAGAGTTATGTCCCTGGAAAAAGTTCAAAGTGCAATAATTCCAAAAATAGGCAAAGCAGAGTTACTTTTGCACTGCACTTCTAATCAATGTGATATATCAACCTACAAAGTTTCTTGATGATATCTCTTATAATTTGCGAGTTATGTCCCGGACAACTTCAAAAAGTAAAAATAAACAAAGGGCAATAACTCCAGAATTAGGCAAGGCAGGGTTATGATTCTTGTGCACTGCATATCTACCCATTGAGATATATCTACCTACAATGTTTCATGTTGATATCTCTTATAGTTTTACAGCCATGTCCTGGACAAGATTTTTCTAAAAGGGAAGATAATTAAAAAATGAGGCTTAACAGAGTTATGGTTCCTTTGCACTGTACCTCTACTCAATGAGATCTATCTACCTACAATGTTTCATCTTGATATCTCTTTATGTTTTAAAGTTATGTTCCGGACAAAGTTCAAAGTGTTAAAATAAACAAAGGGCAATAACTCCAAAATTAGGACAAAAGAGTAATTGTTCTTATGCACTGCACATCTACCCATTGAGATCTATTCACCTACAAAGTTTCATGTAGATATCTCTTATAGTTTTAGAGTTATGCCCCGGACAAGATTTTTCTTTAAGGGGAGATAATTCAAAAACCGGGCAAAATAGAGTTATGGTTCTTTTACACTGCACTCCCCCTCAATGCCCTCTACCACTGTATGAAGTTTCAACAAATTATCTCAAAGGGTTTTCAAGTTATGCTCCATACAAGACAACGGACGGACAGACGGACGGACGTTCTAACAGGAGAGTAATTATGTGGCTACTCTATTGTTATCTCTATTGTTCTTTTTAGCCACACAAAAGAAAATAGCCACATAAAAGCATTACGGAATGAATGACATCAAAGAGAAAGAACAGTTACCTATTGTCCCTCTAGCCACATAATTACCATCCTGTGAGTGCGGACAGACAGACGGACGGACAGACGGACAAGGCGCCGACTATATGCTCCCCCGAAATATTTCGGGGAGCATAAAAACCAGGGTTAAAGGGAAAACACCAACCGTAGACGAGAAAACAACAAGAAAACAAACAAAGTACCATCCAAACAATATGAAATAACAAAGACATACATCTTAGGAACACAGAGGGGCACCGCCACGGAACGGTCAGCAGCACAAGCACCGCTGGATAGTCCAAACTGGCCAACGGCGCACCAAACCAAACTCTCAGCCCCACTGTGTTCCCACAAACGTGACAGCGCAAACAAAACGAGCCCCGCCAAGTGAAACTCCGACAGCTGCCATGCTCACAAAAGGCGAAACAAGCGAAACACCGAAACGATCAGAAAAATACAAAAGAAAACCCAACGACCACAATAAAAGCAACCAATGTCCAAAAGGAAGACAGAATAACAAGAAAATCACCCACAAGGGCACGAGGAAGCAAGGCATAAGACGAACACCAAAATAATTCAGTCCTAAAGGGCCTCAAAAACTGTCAACCACAGAGTCCCCTCCCGGCACGCAGCACGCAGTATGTCCCAAATCAGTAGGGCCACAATCTCTTTCAATAAAACACCCAATCATTTCAGCAAAATCAGCAGAAAAAAAACACCATAACCTTAAATCTTACAAGCCAGGCTGGCTTATCCCCCGTCGCAGAAGTGCCTCTTAATCACCACTGATTCCCAAAACCAAACCAAAATCACGTCTGCAAAACCTCGTAATGCATCCACGTAATCCATGACAGCGACCCAGCTCTTGAACCTTGCTGGTAATCGCATATTTGCTAGTTTAAAACGATTTTACATTTATATGTACGCAAATATAACTGTTCAGTGAAACATCTCAGGAACGATTATTATGACAATATCTACTGTGGATATAAATAATACCGCAGATAACCCTATTTTTTCAAAAGACGTTTTGTCGGTAGAATTTTATTGATTATTTAAGTATGTGTGTGTAAAAAATTACAGATACAAGTTTATAAAAATCACGTCGGGTAGTCGTTCATAACTGGTAGTCGATTAAACTTTTTTTTGCTATGAAGTGCCTATGATATCCCCAGTGCACGCAGTATAGGACTAGTCTGGGGTTCCTTTTCCTTACACCACGTTACTTTACGTAGTAAATATAGACAGGGAACCAGGCTAGCCTAACAGAAGGACACGCTATCGTTACTCGCTACATGATTAAAATTATTTAACCGACCCTTGATTCTCAGCAAGTAACTGTTAAATAAACTTCTAAACTTGTCTTGATATTTAAATTACCGCGGAAATTTACGACAGGGTGGATATATAAACATACTTACATCCAACGCAGTGACTTGTCTGTTATGAATGAATGACAATTTACTTATGATTGTATTTTTTTATGCTTTCAGATTCTGAGAAGCGATTTTATGAGGGCGATGAGAAAGAAGCGGGCCACGAAAATCGCCGACACGATATTTCATTACGACAACGCACCGTCTCATCGTGCGGCCGAAACACAGTACACAATCAGGAAACTCGGCTTCGAAGTCCTCGAGCACCCGGCCTACAGCCCTAACGTCATGTCATGGATCAACCGTTGTAAAAAGTGTGTTTCCTTTCACGAGAGTATTTCGAGAAGGACTAGGTGCGACGTTGGGCCGGTTTCACTGCGATTACCTTAGAAATACTTGAAATTGTACTATTAATTTTTATCCGATTTTATTGAAATTTTGTGTACATGTTTATTATATGTTTATTTACAAATTGTAAAGAGAACGTCAATTTCCCATGAATATTAAAAATATGGCAGCACTTTTCCGCGTATTTATTGAACAGCCCTCGTAAATAAATAAATAAATAAAATTCATTAATAAATTAATAAATAGATAACCCTGTTATAAAATAAATAAATTAACAAATAAATAAATCAATCAATAAATAAATTCATTGATAAATTAATAAATAAATAACCCTGTTATAAAATAAATAAATTAATGAATAAATAAATAGAATAAGTAAATAGAATAAGTAAATAAATTCATTAATAAATTAATATATAAATAACCAACACAATCACGTGTCTGTTATATTATAAATAAATAAATAAATAAATAAATAAATAAATAAATAAATAAATAAATAAATAAATAAATAAATAAATAAATAAATAAATAAATAAATAAATAAATAAATAAATTATTAAAAAAGATGAATAAATGAATATCTAAATTTTCAAGTAATTAATTAATAAATTATATGTATAAATTTGTTTGTTTTTTTAAATCAATTATTAAATAATAAATAAATGAATAAAGGGTTTATATATAAATAGCAATCACTTGTCTGCTGTATAATTAAATAATGAATACACGTAAATCGATAAATTTAATAAATACCTATGCCCCAAGCTAATGTCAATATAGTCCATTTGTTTTTAGTAGAAAGTGAATCTTTAATCCTTTGAAAAACACCCATCATTGTAATATAAGTGTACTGTATAAACTTTTATGACTCCATTTTTTTTGTCGTACAACTGACGTGATTTATTTGTAAAAGAACAAAATTGGATCGATATTTCCATTACAATTAACAATCGTGAAAAATTAGAACGAGGTCGCTTTGAATACATGTACCAACGACTGCCACGTTTTGTATTGTAATGACATACAACTTATTGAAGAAAAAATGACTCGTATTTCAAGTGATCGTGATCTATACAATACTCTTTATTTTAAGACGGTTACGGTTACGGATATCGGACCACAGTCAATATCACGCCTGTTTAACTCACAACGAGTGAAAAATGTCCATCGGTTAAAATGTTGTGAGCAACTTCCGTTCCTCGTTGTGAGCACCCGTCTAGGACGTTTGACACGATAAACAAGGTGAGTTTTTCATATTTTTTGAAGATTACAGACATTTATGTAAAAATATCGGAATGCAGTTAGCTAGCGATGTGTTTTCCGAGTATGCACATGTAAAGATATTGCATTTTGGTCGACAATTTGATGGAAATACCGTGCGACGCAGTCACTCGGGGTAGCTGGAAAACTGGAGACAACTTCTCTCCGGACCAAATTTTACATTGAAAACGTCGATTTTGGTGAAGTTTTGTGCATTCTTACCTTAAACAGATGCCCACAAGTCTTCAGCGTAAATTATTACATGAAAGTCTTCATAGAAACGAAGATATACCCTTATTTGCTTTAATCCACGTTGTGAGCACCATAACCTCGTTGTGAGCAAGACAAGCGCAGTGTGTGTCTGGTTTTAATATGTTATTCAGATGGTGAAAAAGGGGGCGTCCGTGGCTGAGTGGTTAAGGTCGTTGACTTCAAACCACTTGCCCCTCATCTCTTTTGGTTCGAATCCCGACGGGGACTTTGGATTCTTCCATGTGAGGAAGCTATCCAGCTAGATTACGGAAAGTTGGTGGTTCTACTCAGGTGCCCGTTCGTGCCTGAAATAATGCACGGAAGGGCACCTGAGGTCTTCCTCCACCAGTAAAGCTGGAACGTCGCTATATGACCAATACTGTGTCGATATGACGTAAAACCCAAAACAAACAAAAGATGGTGAAATATAATTATCAATCTACCAAAGCAATTAAAACGTTTTTGCACAGCAGCATTTCTTTGCAAGACGTTGTGCATATCCCGAAGGGAGGCATATTAGGTTTTCTCCTTGACCCCTGAATGGCCTTTACCTTTAAGGTCAAATTGTCCAAAAACATTTAAGATTGGCCATAATGTCCTTATTAGTAAATCAATTCAATTCATAATTAGGCACAACACCTCTTTGGACAAGGCCTTCCAACTCCAGTACTATTCTTTTCAGTGATTGGACATGGGGTCGTTCAAGGAGAGACAGAAGCGAGACATCAAGTATGTACTTGCCCTGGTCTGAAAAAGATTAGAACTACTAGAAAAACTGTCATTGATGCATAAAAATCCAAAAAAAGTTTTGGTCATGTCTCTTGCAAAAACATTCTTTTCAGTTAAACACGCTGTAAAATTAGCTAACCCAAAAGTGTACCAGTGGTGAAACACCGAAGTCAAGAAGATTTCTTAAAATGCCACTATTTCATGATGAAAATGCTATTTAAATGTCAAACACAGACTGTCATGAGCTTTCTAGGAAAGTCAGTGCAACTATAATCATGAAAAATGCTCGTGTACAGAGCAAACAAATGCTGAGAACTATTTGAATCTGTTATTATATGCGACTATCGTTTTTCGCGGAGGATTACTTATTTTGTGTATTGTAACTTTTAACACTTCACAAGTATATTCTTAGCTTAATAGATAATGGTAAACAAAAAACTACTTATACCTACAATTTTGCAGATGTTTTGCTGTTTGTGCAAATGGTGGTGAACTAAAAAGGGGAGGTAAATTATGTCTTTAATTGCATATACTTCGTGTTGCCAGAGTTAACATAGAGGGCAGTCTGTGTGATATAAACATGCATGTATTTATCCTGATTTTTATTCATGTTAGACTGGCCAAGTTATGTAGACAAAGAAGAACTATTGCAAAGAGAAACTATTGTGCAAAAACGTTTTGATTGCTTTTGGTAGATTGAAAATTGTATTCTCCCCACTTGAATTACATATTAAAACCAGACACGCACTGCGCTTGTCTTGCTCACAACGAGGTTATGGTGCTCACAACGAGGATTAAAGCAAAAAAGGGTATATCTTCCTTTCTATGAAGACTTTCATGTAATAATTTACGCTGAAGACTTGTGGGCATCTGTTTTAGGTTAGAATGCACAAAACGTCACCAGAATCGACGTTTTTCAATGTTAAATTTGGTCCGGAGAGAAGTTGTCTCCAGTTTTCCAGCTACCCCGAGTGACTGCGTCGCACGGTATTTCCATCAAATTGTCGACCAAAATGCAATATCTTTACATGTGCATACTCGGAAAACACATCGCTAGCTAACTGCATTCCGATATTTTTACATAAATGTCTGTAATCTTCAAAAAATATGAAAAACTCACCTTGTTTATCGTGTCAAACGTCCTAGACGGGTGCTCACAACGAGGAACGGAAGTTGCTCACAACATTTTAACCGATGGACATTTTTCACTCGTTGTGAGTTAAACGGGCGTGAATATATAGACAATAACAACGAACTGCAGTTGCGTGTCTATCGTCAGTCGACATTCATAATATTATTCCGATTTGTTTTGTTTTGTTTTGTTTTTTCTACAGAATAAATAGAGTAGTTACAACACGTGGTAAAACTTTCCGACTATGTCTCCATATCGTTACGAATGACTTGAGTTCTAACTATGTCTCTATATCGTTATGAATGATTTGTAACTCTTAATTTCCGCAATGGCATGCTCAACACATACACGATAGTGTTTTATTATCGACATTTTAACTGTTGTAGTGCGTTCATCAGTTGTCACTGAACTTAGGAATACGGAGTTACAATCGGATGTCTATTTCGGTATATTTTGCCACCGAGAAGAACACAGTCGCCTTGGAACGGTAAATCAGTGCAAATGTGGCGCAGCAAACTGAACTGCGGTGCATCCTTGAGATGCCAAATAAAACCTCACCCAATATAACTTTTTCTGCCTACATCGTCAACTATAACCTGGGAATGAATTGCGTGAAAGCTTCCGTGTCCAGAATAATATTGTTGCTGTTGTGCATAATAAGGTCTGTATATTTTATGTGAAGTGCTATCTATAGCTCCTACGGCGCAAGATAATTTAACCTACGTGTATTTCATACTTCTCCATTGATCTACAGACGACCGAATGATGAAAGCTTTACATTTTTAATAAAATACTGGAATAAGAGTTTTTATTTCTTCTTTTACTGCTGGCACACTGATATTTAACAAGGCTGAAAGCATATGATACGTGCTGTAACACTGAAACCACATTATAACAAGATATGTTTGTAAAACATGTATGCCCCCTATCAGCAGCCAATTAGTCATGTGATAAGGTTATTATGCATGACTTCTGACCCAGTGATCAAACAATTAATAAGGGTTATCAAGTATCTACTGGTCATGACCTTGACCTTTGACCCCTTGACCCAAAACTCAATAGGGGTCATCTGCTGGTCACGACTAATCATCATACAAAGTTTGAAGTTCCTAGGCCAAAGCGTTTTTAGTTAATTGATCAGAAACCGCTTTTACCTACAAGGTCTATGTGACCTTGACCTTTGACCCATTGACCCCAAAATCAATAGGGGTCATCTGCTGATCATGACCAATCACCATGCCAAGTTTGAAGTTCCTAGGCCGAAGCGTTCTTTAGTTATTGATCAGAAACCGTTTTTACTTCCAAGGTCAATGTGACCTTGACCTTTGACCCCTTGACCCCAAAATCAATAGGTCATCTGCTGGTCATGACCAATCACCATACCAAGTTTGAAGTTCCTATGCCTAAGGTTCTTAAGTTATTGATCGGAAAGCATTTTTACCTACAAGGTCAATGTGACCTTGCCCTTTAACCCCTTAACCCCAAAATCAATAGGGGTCATCTGCTGGTCATGACCAATCACAATACCAAGTTTGAAGTTCCTAGGCTTAATGGTTCTTAAGTTATTGATCGGAAACAGTTTTTACCTAAAAGGTCAATGTGACCTTGACCTTTGACCCCTTGACCCCAAAATCAATTGGGGTCATCTACTGATCATGACCAATCACCATACCAAGTTTGAAGTTCGTAGGCCTAAGGGTTCTTTAGTTATTGATCGGAAACAGTTTTTACCTAAGAGGTAAATGTGACCTTGACCTTTGACCCCTTGACCCCAAAATCAATAGGGGTCATCTGCTGGTCATGACCAATCACATAGATTATACAGCAGTTAGAATTTTATTGATTGTGTTATAGATACTTAGACCACAGCTGTTTTCTCTCGGCCAATCAGAGTAGTTTAAAAGTGTTTGATATATCCCACACATCACAGTAAAGTGTTTGATATAACTATCATGCTTGTATTCAACTGAAAGAAAAACCCCGTTATATGCACACTTTATGCGGGGAAAATTATATGTATATAGTAAAGTTCATAGTGAAATTCCCTTCTTAAAAATAACAGATAGCAATAGTCCTTTGACCAATTTATTTCGTCAGTTCATCATTTTACAAGAATAGTAACTGTATTTGTAAATAAGAAAAAAAAACATGAAATGCGTTTATCAATCTATTTAAATCTATATATGTGTCTACATTTTACGTCCGCTTTTGTGCTAATATTTTTAGGCACTGTGCCTTGTGCATTATGCCCGGCTCACTCTTACTAGCAGACACTGTAGATGTACATTCATTTTCGGTTTGGGATGAGGGGATTCCACTGTTGGGCAGGAAGTGGGGTTTCCGAACGGTGACAGGACTGCGTTTGCAACGCTAAGGCAATGCTATGCTTTAAGGCTTCAGAGGGACGTTTAAAATATTTTTTTCAGTTCATGAATGAGGTAAAAAAAGTCAATGCAGGATGTATATAAAGCATACAACAAAAACACGAATCTATATGTCAAGTAAAATATTTTCAACTTCAGCCGGACAATCAATCAATATCCTGAACCCTAGGGTTGTTTAAGCATTAAGGAACACGTTTAATGAAAGTTACCTGCCCGTTTACCCAAGAGCCCACTCTTGAGAAGCAGCCATCGCCCATGATTTCTGTCCAAGAGTATTTTTCGG